CGTGTATTGATGGCTATAGGTAAAGTATATTTATTCCTGATTTTATCTCCCACTTCTATGTTCTTAGTTCTCTTCTATCACCGCTTGAATTAGCGTGAACTTGAGCGTTGCGATAAAATTTGTAGTAGTTCGAAAGTTATAGCTCAGATTCGGAAAATATTTTAGGCGGAGTAGCACAGGAATTCATTCTCTTTAATAGATGGTTTTGGTAACTGCTACTCGTTAAATGCATTCGCGGAGGGTTGGTATATCTTCTCATTTTGGGTTGGTAGTAAAAAGCGGTCGGACCTAATTAAATATTTTTTTACATTTATGCAGTCCGGGGAGGGGTCAATGTCAACTTCATTTAAATACCACGCAGCACCTGGGATTTTAATGTAATTGAAAACTTTTCCCTGTAGCAGAAACAGGGATAAATCAGTTGCCTCGACATTGGTCGTCAATGGTGGGGATGTGGGGTGTATTAGAGGAACCTGGCAAATTCTGTTTGGTAGTCAACTTTGTGTACCCTGCGCTAAAGCGACTGCCTCCAGTGCTCAAAAATGAAGAAGGGCAAATGGAATATGGACGAGGTGAAATTACAATACCTGTATGAAGTCCATGAGTCATTTCAATGAATAAATCCCAGTTAGGTTTTCTACTGTGACTTTGTTATTTTACAGCTGATGCGTCGGCAGCCGTTGTCAAAATCGCAAAATCGTACATTGTAATGGCATGTGGCTAATAAAAGCAAAGAGATAAGTGGGTATTATATCAGATATATTGCGTCTGATGTGGGGCCATATCATATTCAATCCCTTTGAGTAAGGCTGGAAAAATGAAGCATTGAAAGGAACAAATGTGATGAAAATCAGGATATTGTTGGAGTGTTGTTGAATTCCTTCACCGTCAGTGAAAGGTTTTCCTTGTTCCGGTAGTACATCGCGATCAATGCCAAACGATCGTCGATCGACAGACGACGAGTACGTGAGCAAACCATGATAACGACCGGAGTAATGACCGTCTGTTCTTAATCCTGTTCTTATATGCCACACTAAATTGCCGTTATCCCCAAGTAGAGGTACATCACTCAAAAACAGTAGTAGAACATAGTGATTGTGTGATCCGGTGATTTTACCTATACTTCTGAGTACTGTTTTTTTGCTATGAACTTGTTTCAGTGTTCTTTCGATGGTTTTCACCTAAAACACATTTGCGAAGCAGTGACGACCAACTTTAATCACTATTTTTCAAGAAAGGTCACGGCAGACCATAAGTTAACACCCGCAAAATGGTTGTTCCTAGTGTTGTGAAGTGCTATTAACATTTGTGAGTAGGATACAATATAGTGCAGTTGTCTGTTTCGTTCAGCGATCAAAACTGAATGAGACCACTGAAGGCGAATTGCTGTGTCTCAAAGAATAACTACAAACTGCTCCATTCATTACCCGGTGTGCAGCCGGGAATTGCGGTGACATGTGTCAAATGAGATATCTTTCATATGTATACCAAATTATTGATATCCCAAGTGTAATTTGCAATAAACAACTATCATCTACCGGGTACTGCCTTGTGGAATTACAACACCAGTACCGGCTTTTAGAAGAAACTTAGCAACAACCCATCAGCTGATTAGTTGAATCACGAAATTTTCTTTGCAATCCACGTTCGTCAAATGATTGAAAATAATACCTCTTGGGCTCTTCCCAACCTCCTTCAGGCTTTTAAAAGCTAATCGACTGAGACTAGATGGGTAGTACAGGCAGAAAAACACCAAACACATTGCAGCAGTGTGTGTCCGAGCATAGCACGTGTAAAGCGTGTACTGCGATCATACATGCTCATGCATGACTTCCCCACTCCCAACCCCATGCTATACAGACAGCAGTAAGGTCGCACAGCTAGCATATTATATTTATGTTCCATTTTGAACGGCTGTTGTTTTGCGACATAGCGTTCTTTGACATGGAAACTGTGGATGTTGTGACGTTGGGTGTCTTTCCACGCATCAGTGTACCCTAGACAAGAGTTGTGTTATTATAGCGAACTTCGCTTGCAAGAAATAAGATAGGTTTTCTATCAATACAGTTTTTGCCGCTGTGTTCACCCTCAAAGACACAAAACCGGGTCCGGATACCAATGGATTCTGTCAATGAGCACGCCATAGATGCCGAATATGACCAGACCGCATGTAACCGATTCGTCACGGACAGACCGACCTCAAACAACAAGCCGCCCTTGCCGCAGCCCTTGAGGCGCTCCGTTGACTTCGGTAGCGTTAGAGAGAGTCTGGAAACGGAGGAAGATGAGTTGCGGATGTACAGTGATTCACCAAACGAGGATTTTCATGCCTCGAACGGGTTTAATCGTACTATTCGAATCAAGGATGGGATAAGAAAATCGCTTAATCGTGTGCAGTCTGTCTTGGATCGAGCACAGACCAACAACTGTGATCATGGGAAAACGAATCGCGGACTAGATTCACCGGGTTTGTCCAGGTAAGTCTCACACATCCCTTTTTTACTTTCAGCTTATCCTAATCCGGGTGGAAGCAACGAGAACAGCAGATGCCTGATCAACAGTTGATTAACTTATCATATGCGCTTTGGTGTGAATGTTATCGCGGTTAACCTTGTGGCGGCAGTCTTTTGTAAACCAAGAGACAACTGTGGTCTGACGTCTGAAGTCTCGACTTAGGGGGTCATGTCTACTCCAATCAGTTCACTACTAATTTTTGTCATTGCCCTGATTGACTTTCATTACCCCATCATCGTCAATATATTTGTACAACGAAACAGTACGGTAAACCTCGACAATTGCTATCAAGGTCACTCACGTGGTTTGGAAATTCATGGCTAATGTGTATTGTGGATGAAAGTGGGGCTGATTTGAAGAGGGACAAGAGAAAGTAGACTAGATATTGTTTAGCATACAGTCTAGCTGTGCACACACACACCTCTTAAGGCCTTCTAACCTGATGAAATGTGACAGTCAGGATGCCACTACTATCGATTTACTCTCATGTTCTTCAACATGTCTCCAACATGTTGGTTACTGAATCATTTGGATCCCATCCGACAGACGGGATACGCTTACTCTCTATCTACTATCTTCATGTGTCGTTTCCAAGTCACCTGTAGATCTTAGTCTGTCGTCTCATTCACCCTGGAGCGACTTCTAATAACAGATCGTAATGTGGTGGCTGGCTCTCGACCCGGCGTACTACGCGCCCTAAGCAGCGAATTCCACTTATAAAATTTCTGTGAAAATGAACTCTTCGCCATTCAAAACACCATGGCTTATCTGTGTTCTACTAAGCCTCCTCCTTTTTTCTTTTCGTTTTTACTTCTTTTTTTATTGAATACGCAATGGAACATTTTTAAGAAAGGGAGAAGCTGCCAATCAAAGGGCAACACAAATGGGGAAAGTCAGGCGGTTATGGTGGGATTTGGGTGATAATTGGTGACGTTACGATCGGGCCACCACCACGTGGGGCAAACTAGATGCTACATAGGGTATTTCATTTCTTGTATGCATTCCCTACTGAAGGTTTCGACTGTAAAAGAGAGCTGACCGCGCAGTGAATGGTACAGTGTGATTAACGTTCAAGGAAATATCACATTGATTCCAAAGTTGTTCCATTACGGCGTATAGCACTCTAGCGGTCGATAGGCGTCCGGCCACCTTTAAGAGACCACCATTATTCGTTACGTAACCGTCCAATTAGGGTTGGGGATCGTGTGCAGTCAGGTCCCAGCTGATGGGCTACGATAGCTCACTTGAGAAACATATACTTGACAGTTTTGTAAACAACGGTGTTGATTGTTGTTTTTGCAGCTCGGGTAGTATAACTTGGTGTTCAGTTGCCAAGCTCGGCAAACAACTGAACGTCAAACATATACTTATTGTTTTCTGCATGCAAGATCATAAAACTCGCATCTTTCTTGTCACTGGCTTCTCGACGAACCAGTCACCTGATGATGATGCTATAATTTTCAGTATATTTATGGTTCTATATATACAGTATAAACAGATAACGACCACTCTTTGCGGATACGGCACCAAAATAACCATAGGTTGAAGGCGAAATACAAAATTGGAATCAGATCTTCTCTGTCGTGTTTACTGTTCATGGCCCACTGTCATTTCTTACATCTTACATGAAAATCAAATAAATCAGGCGGTCACAGAGCGCAAACTGAAAAGGAACATGGAACTGGAAAGATGTTCACCATGGCTTTTCTTTCATTCCGTAGATGGAGTGAGAATTTCTTACTCTTGCATAGCAATCCACTCCACTTTCAGAGCCACAAAGGGAGTCACGAGTTCTGAGTGCTGAACAGGTTTCTGGATTCATGATACTCCGATTCTTGTCTTGTTCTGTTTCTTTTTTTCGTTTATACGACGCTCGAGGAGTATGAAACTTTTTCTCTGCCATTCCTCGAACACGCGAAAGAGTGCGTGTTCTCATGAATCGTTAAAGTACACCGCATTCCTAGCTCGGTCATTGACTTAATGATGCGGACAGTTTGTCGAATTTAATGTTTATCAGGTGATCTCTCCTCACTATTTTCTTCACAACAGATCCCCCTCCACTCCGGAATTGAGAGACTCACAGAATCTTTTAGATTCGGTTTTGGACTCCGAGCGACAGCGCAGCCTGTCTGAGCAATGCTTGCGCATGGATCTACTACCCGTACGAGCGTTAGGTTCGACGGATTACCTTACCACGAATAGTCCGCTCGTGGGCCGTGTGCAACCGGGACTGGCGGCTCTCTCATGCCCCGGAAACGGCTCGCTTGTTGGCACCACAGACGATATTGCCGCGGTGGCGGCGGCGGTATGTGAGGACAGTGAATCCGACAGTCCATTGGAGTGTTTGGTTCAAAATGATCAACTATTGGAGGAATTATTTTTTTCAAAATCCGTACGTTTAAAACTTCGAAGAAACTTTTCTTTGTCCAGGCAGGTTTCTTTATGACGCTAATCGCTAATCCCGTCCGATTCACCAGTTGAGGGACTGTTTAGATTGGGAGAGAGGGAATTCAAAACGTGTCCAATGACCTGTGCACCATCCAGTTTCGTACTACCATATCATCTCTCTTTCTCGCTGTGTCTCGCTCGCTTTTTCTAAAGTTTAGAAATGTCTGTGAATGTTATAATGTTAATGACACACCGATGTCGGACCAATCAAATGAAAATACTCCAACTCAAATTTCGAACATGCACTGAACGCTTGTATACCGAGGTTTGGCCATTAACACCCACTCTGCATGTGCCAACAGAAACGAGATCCCGAGCATTTGGACATCCCTGACGCGTAATCACGATAAAAGTCACGGTGATACTTCACCCCATCTGGTAATGGGAATTAGTATGACAGACAACGAATCATTCCGCCCACCACACACACACACACGATGAAATATCCGTTGACTTGTGATCCTTTCCTTTAAGTCATTTGATGGAAAAGCCTTCAGAAAGGTTACCCACCGTAATCAAAACGTCGGCGAATATAATTCTCCACCGATATCGCTGCGTTATTAACATTGTAACATTCAAAATCATTTAGAAATGTTTGACTGAATTGTGTTCAGTCAGGCGGTCGTTCTGTTGCCAACGCAGATTTCCAAGATATTTGTCAGGATCAAACATGCAACCGTTTTCGTCGAACTTTGGGATGGATCAGAGTGACATGACTTCTTTTTGCGTCCGTCACTGTACTGTGACTGTATTGTGACACCCGGTCAGGATGCACGACGACAAGTTCCCGTTCAGTAGTAGTGGTTCAACACATTCCGATTTTTATCTGTCATTTTTTTCTATATCAACATTTTAATGTGATGTGTGAAAATTTCCAGCACACAACTTCTCCAGCATTCTGTTGCAAAGTAAACTATCATCCACAATTAAAGTACCAGGGGACTAGCAAACATTTGCACATGATCTTAACTGGATGGTTTCAAGGTACAATATATTCGGTAAATGTTTTGTACGTAGCCGATTTGATGACTGTCTCTCTCTCTCTCTCTTTCTGGTTAAAATCGATTTGCAATCCTCGCTTTTCTTCATTTGTGCACATCTTATTTTGTCGTTTTTAGTGCGATGTTTTCGCAGCATTCTGCTAGGTTGTGGGAACAATCTGACAGGGAATAGAGAGATTCGTTGCGGAGTATTTTAGTTTTTGTTTGGGCGCGAGGGTGGGTGGGGGTGGGGGGTTGGAATCCTGAAGGTTGGTCAATGCATTCCTACATTTGACTTGGATTGTGAATTTGTCCTAAATAGTGTTGTTCATCCGGAGTTGCGAGTGTGGTTTTCTTCTAAGAGTCATTGTACATTTTCAATAGTTAAACAACAAAACTGCCCTCGTGGTGAGCCTGAATTCTTTTCACTTATTCATCAGTTTATCATCCATTCTGTTCTTCATTATAGTACCCGGGAAATTTTAGGTTCTATAAACTATATATCCAAAGGAAAGTGTTTGAAAAATCGATGAATTGTCTTCAGTTATTTCCCCTACCCCGCTCCCCACTGTCTTTTAGAAACCGTGTGATACAAACAAGCATTCCGTGAATTGTGATCGAAGAGAAAGATTGATCGATTATGGTCGATCTGGGCGAACGGGTTCTGGTGATCGATCTCGAGAACGATCCCGGAAGAGCAGTACACACCGAGCCGAAATACCAGCCGTGATCGGTAAGTGGATTGAACCCATCAGGACAGCTGCACTCATCGCCAAATGGGGCTCGGTACGAGAAAGCACTTAGAACGCATTTTACCCACCAGTTGTGGTTTGCTCTGTCAGATGGGTGAATTTCTGTGATGACCGATTCTGTTGTATCAGTCCTATTGTGTACGTGTATATCGCGAATGAAAACAACTCGAAGGTGATGTCGATTAGGTTAGGTGACTCTGTTATTTATTTTATTCCTGCACCCCTGGTCTATATGAATTTTCTTCTCTCTCCTCGAATCTGATCTCAACATTCCAATCTTGATTCTACTCTTTTATCAAAATGGGCGGCCAAAAGACAGGAATCAAAACTGGCACACGAGAATGCGTGGGTAATGGTTGTAGAAAGTGAACTGAAATGAATTGAACTTAGATTATTCTGACGGGTTTTTGTTCGTGTAAAGGTGCAGAACAATTTCAGTTTGCACAACCGTTAACCATGCACTTTTGTGCGCCGGTTTTGGTTGTTGTTTTTTGGCCGCCCATTCGGAAGGAGGAGAGCAAAATGAAGATAAGAATTTTCAGAGCAGAGTTAAAGGAAAAATAGAGAATTCATATAGACTACGTTTGAATCGTTTCTGCTGTAGTAGAGAACCTGACTTGTTTATCGACCTTTTACAGGGATTGGAACATCTCAACCACATCGGGGGATAAAACCACTGAACGAGTGACTCAATTGTTTCAGACTTTAGCCACCCAAAGGGGTGTTACAGAATCCGTTTGGACGAGCATTGAATCAGGTAGTCTGTGACCCTTTCTGTACGGGATCAAGTAAAAACAAACCACCCCTAAGAAGAGAGGATAGGGTAGGGCGTGTTACTTTTGAGCTGAACACATTTTGGTCTGTGAGAAAAGTTCCACAAACCGCATTTTGATATTCTCCTTCTTTCTACTTTTTCTACTACACTTTCATAATATGAAATGGTGTTATGGGATTGTTTGGTTCCAAACTCCAGGGGCGACTGAGAATGTTGAGCTCGGTTCTTATTTATCTGCTCTAGTGGACTAATCTCTTTCGAAATGTAGCACACACACACACTGAGATTTGCCAACTTGAGGCATCTTTGGCGGTGCCCCATTTGTCCGCAAAGTGTTGATTGTAGGTTTCAAGTTCCCGACCAATGTTACTACTGTATTTCGCAGAGGCTTCGCCCTTATGTCAAGGAGTTGTCTTTGTTCGAACATCACTGTTTACTTCACATAGCACGCATCGGGTGGGTCATCCGAATAAACTAACTCGAAGTTGGGCACATACACACAGAGAGATTGATCGCGATCATGCACTAACACCAATTCTTGATCGCTATAGATTGCGATTGCTGGACTGGGCGTTACGCCCATCACCGCACAGGTTTTTTTGCGTTCGAGGTAGACAGCGGATGGAAATCAGCTCCAGACTTAGCATGTGAGTGTGAAAATCTTGTACAGATAAAGGATTTGGTCAAATCGGTCGTGTTGAGCTACTCGGTTGGTAATCTCATGACTGACTGAATGTCGTAATCCGTGTGACTCGTGCATCTAAGCACCTTCTACGTAGATTACTTGCCTTCTCTGCTCTCAGCTATTCGGCAATTTCGATTTATTCCTTCCTTATAAAGTTGATCGATTGTGTCACCGAAAGACAGCCAGCCGAACTGTTACAAATCTGTGCCAGGGTTATGCGATGGTTGTGTAATTCATGTCAACTTATACCAACTTGTGTCTGTCTGATAGATCATGCTTGGTTTAATACTTCCGTTTAACATTGTTGTTGTTCTCAACATAATAAAGCTAGTAACATTTCCGTACTATTTAAGTTATTCCAATCCAAAAGATCTGTGTATCGTTATTTGTCCATCTGTTCTAATTGTTCACATGACAAATCTCTCTCTCTCCTATATTGCTTCAGGCCCAGACGGTATGCTACTTCAAGGGGTGAGGCTTTATGCTCGCGGTCTCCAATTGACATGGGAGTGTTATCAACTAATTGCACAAGCACAAACAGATCTCGTCGATCGATCGTTTGTTCGTCCCGGTGTGGTCAATTTGAATGCATGTGCCACACAGGGCAAACCACTGTTCAGTGTGCGATCTGCCACCCAAATCAGTCGTAGCACATCTCGTTCGAAGAGTCGTAGCGCGAGTCGCCCGCGGGATGCGTTACGGCGATCACGGTCCAGATCAGCCTCACCCCATCTACGTCACTCGCAATCGACGGGGCAAAGAAAATCAGAACAGTAGGTCTCATTGGACGCGTTTAGTTGTTGTAATTGTAATTCAAGTATTTTTTGAAGCTGAAGTTGCTCTGTACGAAGTCAAGGATTATACACCGCACGACAGAAGTATTGCATACTTAATCGACCCAAAAAAGATCACGTTAAGTGAGCATTTTGTGCTTTTAATTTGTCAAAACAAATGGCAATTGGTGTGAGTTCTTGTAGTGCTGTGAATGGTATTGTTAATGCCAGCAATCAATCGATCTCTCGATTGTATATCCAGTAAGTCTACAAAATCACACTTTCCAGTTTGTGCCAGTACTTTCAGAATGAATTCACGGATACCCTGGTTCGAAGTGCGTATCATTGATTGAGATTTTGCCCGCTCATGAAGCCTCAGAGCTTCACATGCTGTGGAAGATGGAATCCTCGTACTGTGCAGAAACAAGTGAAGATGGATAAGCCAAGTTTTTGATTATAGTATGAGCATTTTTACCGGCAGTATTAAAAAATAACGCGAGTTTATGTTCCTCATCGGGCTTCGAACGAGTCAACCACCAGATATCAAGACCTTCAAAATAATCCTCGATATCGTGTGCACTGTAGTTGAGACCTAGGGATTCTAATGGAGTCGAAATCATTGTCCAGTAGATCGGCAGTAATGCCAAATGTAGTTTTGTGAATGGTATTGCTAATGCCAGCAGTCAGTCGATCTCTCAACTGCATGTCCAGTAAGTCTCCAAAATCACAATTCTTCGTCGACAGAGTGTTGCAGGCTTATGTTCATGTAACATTGTGGTTCTCAAGACCATTGCAATGACGTTGAGGGTACAAAAACGTTTTCAACAATGGCCCATTGGAAATGACTAGCAGATATGAAGAAATTCGGAATCTTTATTTTTCATGATCAGCACATATGAGGTACCCAGACAGCGCAACTGGTCCAGATGCTGAGTGAAAGCAACTACCAAACAGTCAAAAAATGCTGCCGACAATTAAATATGTCAGAAAAATGTTGGCACAAATTTGTGATTATGGTCTCCAACTATCTCAGTCATACGTCGAAGATAAAATGTTGACTCAGTTGAAAGTCGGCCATGTATCTGGTACAGAAAGCCGATCGTTTGGTTTTGACCTTTCGTTGCTGGTGGAGACATCTTTTATTGAGAATTGAGACAGCGTTAATGGGGACGTCATTCGAAATGCCAGACAGTGCACGCTGAGAAGGAGGTGTGGAAAGCTTGAAAGTAAAATAGGCTATACGTGATCCAAACCTGTCTTCAATGGGCCTAGTCCTTCGGGGGTGCCATATTTCTGTGGCGACATAATCCGCTAAAATAAGAGATTAAATGCGGAAATTTTGCATTTCTTCCCTGCGTTTCGTTTTTGTTTAGAATCTGAAAACTAGTGATGATTGCGTATTTGGATGAGGGATTAATCCAAAAATTGAAGCGTGTGTAGTACATCTGTCTCGATATGTATGAATGTCGTATTCCATTTCACCAATTCCTATTGTTGTGTGAACTCTAGGGAACATGCATGCTTCCTCATCTCATCGTTTGTTGGTTGTGATGTGATTTATCATCATTCAAACTCAAATTTTTAATATGGGTAAATTACAAAGTTGATGCTTATGGAATCTCATAAGATCCGCACACACACACTGCGTTCTGTTGGTAGTACAATCAAATATCGAACCATAATGTTCACTTACGGGTACTGAACAGCTGATTGTAGTCCAGTGCTTTGTCCAGCTGTGACTTGAATGAATCGATTTTCTGGAGCCTAAACAACAGGTGGTGGAAGACAGTTCCAGGTATTACAAACTCGGAGGCTGAAAGCGTAATACCTGCAGTATAGCAGATTCTTTTGCAGCAAACATTTCAACGGATGTTAGTGGAGTACTACACGGGTGATCGGGTTAATGTAGTACTTGATATATGAGGATAATGTATCCCCGTATTTGACGGCGTTCAGATGAATAACGCCCGAGAATATGCAGTCTTTTGTCGTGGGTTTTAGATTGTACCCCTTTCGACCATTTTGGTTACTGTTCTCTGCAGACGTTCCAGTGCCTTTTCATTGCGAATTAGCCATGGATTCCAGGCTTGGATAGCATACTTGGTGTGTGTGGTCTAATGTATACTAACAGCAAACGAGGCAATCTATCTGTTTCGAATGATCCAATGATTCCCATTCAGAAATAGGGATTTAGCCCAACATTTGGTTTATTCAACTCGCGTCCCGATTGATCTGCGATTAAAGTGAATTAACAGGACACAGAAAACGTTTTATAGTCCAAGTAAGAATGATTCTCCAAGTATGAAATGGGAAGCCTTATGATTCCAAAATTTAATCTCCTCGCATTTGAAACAAATCCAATCTATAAATATCGCACATTCGGAACCGTCTGTGGCTGAAGGGTCACGTCCACCATTTGTCCCGATTCCCTTCGATCCGTGAACCCGTTACACAGTCTTCCGTTTGTATGTGTGATGTGTGGCCCTGCACTGTTTCGGTATAACCCTCGATTGGCTTGCGCCTACTTGCCATTAGTCAAACGGATCTGCTTTCTCCTTCTATTGCAGTCCTTTGGCTCTCACTCTAGAAGTTTCTGTTCCAATTCAGACTGCGAGTGAAACATCATCACCGACCAATTGGATGACCACAAGCCTCGAATTTCACAAAGATTCCTCCAGATCACGTGATCCACAGGTTCCGGATTTTGTCGGCTCCGGTCGGAAACACCGATCGGTTCGGTTTAAGCCCACGCATCACAGGCTACTCCAGCCGATTGCCCAGCTAGCCATGAACGATGCCGTGCATTCGCACAAGTCCCCTGACGAATACACACGCTTTCGTCTGTTCACCCGAACGTTTGGTAAAAGTGTGCTCAAGGTTCCCGCGACACCACAAGTAAGTTGTGTCACGTTTCGCACACTTTCGTGCGCCCGTTTCGGTTGCTGTCTTTTTTGGCTGTCCATTTGAATCAAACGGCAGTAAGAGAAAGACAAGAAGGTTGAGAATAGAGTCGAAGAGAAAATGGAGAATTTCAGTGAACTAAGGTTGCTAAGAAACTGAGAAGATGCACAAACGCCACTCTATATCACACTCAGCCATATCTCTAAGCCCCCGTTATGGTCATTCTGAAGTCCTCATCCAAGGAGCCTAGCGGCACTTTTATGACCAGGTCTCCTGGTTAGGGTATTCATACCCTCATGCCAGGTCTTAGTTTAGCCATCCTTGATCTTTCACCCACTAAATGCTTCGGCAAACATCGCTCGCCGTGGTGACGTGTGTGGCACATGTCCCAACCACTGTAATCTAGGGAAATCGACCACTTGCTCCAATGGGCGAGCGAGGTTACCTAAAACTCTGTCTAATTTCAGCGTCTCTTGTCCGGTTGAAACTATTTATATTCGAACCGATCGGTTTTCCTCCCCCCTGCTTAAACGACTTCGTCGATTTCTTTATTTCCAAGCATCTTGACGCTTGTGATACATTCATTGACAGGATAACGCATGATCAAGGGCACTGTCTGCACCAAGATATCGCGAAAGCCCTGTCGATTCCCCGGACACGCTCTAAATATCAACTCTTTCCTGCGCGGACTTCCACATATCGCAGTGTAACACATAACATAGTGTAATTCCTTACCTAGCTCGTTTACTAGTAAATCGTCAGCATATCCTCACCCACCTCAGGGAAAAGCTCTTGCCCTAATTTTTTCTTATTTATTAAAGTGCAGAATTTCTCATACTGTATTTTTCTTTTTGTTTACAATTATTTTAACTATCCACTGTAAAACTCGTAAACTGCTAAAAATTCACCTTTTGGGTGCATAAAGCTTTTCTTGACTTGACTTGACTTGGTTGTCCCACCAGACTCGTGCAATGCAGCGTAGACTGCAGTGTTCGAAAACTTTATCCTGTTTTCCTAATGACCAAGTTTCTGTGCCGTATAGCAGAACTGGCCGAACTGCCACCGCATACACCCGACCCTTCACAGACAGCCGGCCCCGCCATAGATGTCTTAAGTTAGCAAATGTCAACCGAGCCTTCTGTATGTGAGCTAACACCTTATCCGTGATGCGTCCACCGGGTGAGATGTAGTTGCCCAAATAACAAAACTATCATTAATACCCAGTCATTATTTAATCACAGTTAATTTTCACGATGGGCCTACGACGTGTAACAGTTTACTAGGAAAACTGTTGATGGTAGTGACGGTGGCGCAGGAATTTGTATGCGGGACTCTCCGGTCGTGCTCCCTATCTCCTAAAGTTAACCGCCGTCACCGCCACCGCCGGTCATTGAAACATTAACCGAACGGGTACGGTAAGTAGTGTCGAATGATAGCCAAGTCCTGGCCATTTTTCATTCAAATGCACACCATTTTAGATGTGGATAAATATCTGTCGAATAGCATGTGTGACCAGTGAGGGCGGAATGGAGTGCAGACTGTACTGTATCTCGAAAGAGAGAACGGCAAAGTAAAAATGAAACTAGAGTCAAACGTCCGATTAGAAGTATGAGAAACAACCCAGTGCGAAAAACAAACATATGTTGATATCCGTGCAAATCCCCGTATGCTGTACCCTAATTTGTTTCCCATCCGCAGATGTTCCCTAATATTCTCTAATGTTGCAAATTATTCGAACTGACACATTTCTGTGTACTTTGCCAGCTGATCGGTTTGAACAATTTAACTTTGGACGAATTGAAGTTGGCCATATCCACTAAAACGTATTGGCGTTCCAGTCCAAGGGCTCGACTCTTTGTCCACCTATTCCAACCGGGCAGTGGACCAGTCGCTCAGCCCGAACGTAGCGGGTCACCCAGATCAGCATCTGGCCTGATTCGTGCTCGCCTTGAGATCGAGGTTGAACCGATCTGGCGACCAGCCTCCCGAAATCCGGCATGTGAGTTGGTATTTTTCGTTTTAATGTCCAAATGATTGATGTCATGGGCTGGCTTATATTTTTACCCGCATCGAATTCAGCCAATAGTTTGCGAATTCTGTTATGGCTCAAATGGATACAACGCGTTTGGTTGATTTGGATAATCAATTCTGTTCACGATTTGTGAACCTAATACATAACTGCACGCGGTTCTTTCTCACTGTCTGTGACTGCTACCATAATATCAGGACCATTACACTTTCTGCTGAGCACTCTTAGTATAGGTGCTTGAACTGCGTTCAAGCTGTACAAAGAGTAGTTCTTCCATCATTCTCTCATATGTGGAATGCCGAAATTGGGGTTATCTGGACCGGGAGGTATGTTGCACATTTCTGCCATGGTGACAAAGTACTGTTCAGGAATAGCTTCTTATCTCGTTTGGGTGTGTGTGTGGGGGGGGGGGGGANACGACTGAGTGACTCGCAGAAACAGTGCACAGGCACGAAACTGCACTGCAAAGTGGACGTTCATTTTTGTCTTTACAGTCCTTAACCTTGCCCTGTTGTGCGACGGTTTTGGTCACTGTCCATCCATTAGGTTAGTCGCGGTATGGTCGGGGTGGGTGTATCGGATTGTGACTAGTCACATTTCTCTTACAACTGGCAAAATGCAACTATATGACCAAGCATCTCAAACAGTCTCTGCTGAGGAAGCCCTGCTTATAGCCTCCCCGTGGCTGAATTGTTTTCCCACCAAAGAGTGAGGATCATTGGCAGTTCATCTAGGGGAGTAGGCTAAATCCCCGATTCTAGACCAACCAAGAGGAGGCGTATGAGCCACACACACGCTTTCCTGATTGTGGCAGTGGTCACCGGCTGGATCGGACATCAAAGTGTATTGGTCACCTTGGACGTTTTACCCCGTACGATCCGATGAACTGGACAAGGACCTCCAATGGACTGGGGACTCTGACCTGCGTTCTGCTGTCTTACACGTCAGGCTTTCTAGCCAAGGGCTTCAGGTGGGAACCCCGAGATTACCCCTCTTCCTCAATCAGGGAAATCGGGCAGTGACATGCCCACAGAACCTATGA